TTCAATCCTTTATATACAGATTCTACTTCATCCAATAAAATTTGAAATTGTCTTTTATTCAAAGCCCAAGTAGAAATGTAATTAAAAACGTTGGTAACTGTTTGCATCACTTTCTGAAGTTCCTTTAGGCCAGCTTTTGCATACAAAACCTCCTCATGTATGATGCAATGAAAACCTATTAGTAGATGACCAACATCTTTTACAAACAGATTTACAAATCCTGCCTTCTCACCAGTCAGTGGGTACCACATATTGTGACAGATACTACTTTGAAATGTGGATTTATCGAGTAGATATTTCGTTCACAACTGCATTACATATTTCAGCCCCGGTAGTACACACAGGTAGTGTTACAAGGGCAACCATCTCTTCACATACTTCATCATCCCTACAAAATCGAGAAAATATGGTTAGCCTAGCTGATGATACTTTCATCCGTACTTTCATCAGCACAAATAGAAAAAAAAAAAAAACTTGCATGAAGATAAATCTTTTGTCTATTGTTCAGCTGTATTTCTTTTCAACTTTATCCTTAACTATTTTCCAACTCACAGACAAATCTTTATTGCGCTGAATAATATTTTCCTTTTCTGAAAAATTGTCAAAAAGGAAAGGCACACATTCTAGCCAAACTTCTTGAATATACTTCCCATCTGTAGGTGGCTTTTCATGTTGGGCAATTACTTTTGAAATCTCAAAACTAGTAGCAAGTAGGAACTAGGTCTACCTGAAGTAATGTTCATAAAAATATCAGCCTGTTTTTTGTTTTGCTCAATTCATGAGAAATTAATTATCTTTGTTCCTCCTTAGGTTTATTGCTTAAGTTCTTGTGAATATTTTCAAAATATCTCTTTACAGAAGTGGTCCTACAAACAACTGCGCCGGAACAGAAAATGTATAGGCTTTTATTGTCTTTCTTAATCATGGCAAATATTTCAGTCCAGTATTCTTTAAATTCTTTAATATTTTCTTCATTTGAATGACATCGTATTTTGCTGATGATCATGACATTCTGCACAATGTGTAAAGGGCAGAAAATAAAAATACATGAGATAATGATATACATGAAAGAGGAGAAAGAATAAAAGTAAGTCAAAAAGGGAATCTAATGAATCAGTTTAGCGTACCAGAAACAAGTCATCGGTGTGTCATATTTGGCATGCGTCCCAAGGGTTGCCCACCCTTGTCCTAGACACATCCAATGCAACTACAACTGCTGCAGTTATAGTCCTCTACAGCTCTAATGGGTCACGGAACTCGTGAGCAACTTGTTTTGTGGCCAAGTCCATTTCAGAAGAGCATTTTTGTATTCATGATTCGATGGGACAGTCGCATTAAATCTTGTTCATAATTCAGTAGATAAGTAGCCGAGTCGTGCTGATCACATATGCACAATTTTTTTATTTGCAGAGTAATAAATATGTTGGATGAGTAAATATTTGTCCTTTGCTTTTGGGACACCACTCGGACTAGTCAAAAATGAATTATAATTGACAAAGCTTCATACACGAAGTCCATGGTGGTATATAGTGTCATTTTTTAGCTGTTACCTCCAAGACATGGATTTTTGAGGGCAAAATGATACTCCAGACCTTTAAAAAAATAGCAAAAATCATAGAATTATCCAATTTGAGTGAAATTTTCAGTATTCATAACGAATTAAGTTTATATTGAATCATTTAACTTTGGATATTTTTTGGTACACCATCACCACGTTATTTACATCGTGGTTAATTCGTAATAGTAATTTTTGGATGCCATTAAACAAAACAATTTATTGCCATTAAACAAAACAATTTATTGCCATTAAACAAAACAAAATATCGAACTTTAATGTATTGAAAATGTAGTCTGAAATCATAGGAAGTGATTTCAGGGAAACTCAAAAATGATTTATTTTCGTGAGTTGCCGATTTAATAAAGCATACTATCATTTGTGCCAACAGAGAAAAAGTTTTTTTGTACATGGGCTTTTGAAAAATTAGTCTATTTTTAGACCATAATTTTATAACTGTTTCACTTATTGGCTGTTGTTGATAAACTTGATATAAAAATAAGGATGGGTTTTTAGGATGAAAAACTGGAAAGCTGAGTGTCAATTTCAAGTGGTAACTTTTTAAAAATAATTTGATCTATTTCTTTTTTCTTTTCCACCGTTTGTTTTTTTTATTCTACAGAAGATCAAAAATAAATTTCTAAATTATATTCCTAGACTAACACCCTTCATTAATGAATAAATACTGAAAATTTCACTAACATCAAATAATAACGTAACCCCATACCACGAGTGGCCCTCGGGGATTGTACAAGGTGAAACTTACTGAAAGAAAATATGCCTTTTCTATGTGCCGTAACCTTTAAGTATGTGAACGATTTCTCCCTTTGCCAAGATTCCCGACCCCCATCATCCATTCACACAAGCTCGTCAGATAAGTGGCTCGTGACTACCTCTACCACACTTGTTCTCAATATGTCCTGTGAGGATTAAGTTTTCCAAGCCCTCTCTCTTCATTATGTTTCCAAGAAAGTTCAGCTGTCGTTTTCTGATTTTTAGTATAAGTGTTCTTCGTAGTTTATTCGTTCCGTTCATGGAATTCTCAGTATCCTTCTGTAGAATAACATTTCTGATGCTCCCAGTTTCCTTTTCATCTGTAGTGAGATAGTACAGTATTCACTGCTCTACATACATTTTCTTTGTTTTTAACGAAACTTTCCTGTTTCCTCGGACTTTCTCTAATCCGCCAGCATTCGGATTTTGGAATCGGATTTTCCATCCTTTGTTTAAATAGTTCCCAGAAATTAATCCTTCAAAGAGATTTTCTGACATACTTACCACTGAACTAATTCTTTATTTTGAGTGATTTTAATTATTCCCACATTATTTAGTCTATTCACTCAACGGTCTTCTTCGGGTATATAGTACACGTATTGAAAAAATACTATTCGTATGGAAATAACAGCTTTTTTTCCCCGGTAGTGCAAAATTAAAAACAGTAGCAAACAGAAAATTTAAATGCCAATAAAAATTTTTGTCAACTTTTTTCTACTTTTAGCAACACTGGTAGCATATGTTGTTTCATTTGTAACGCGAAGAACAATTTATTTTGCAAGATTTGCTCTATCATTTTAAATTGTTGGCTATTGTTTTTGTTTTGCGTTTCCATAAAAACTGACTCTTGTTATTCATTTGAGGAAGGCCGTACATCGGATCGGTCGAAACTTTGTAGGAATAGTAAAAATTACACTAAAAAAAAGAACGAATTAACTTATCCTAAAATTTCTTGAATGATAATGACTTCAAAATATTAAACTAATGAAAGCTCTGCCAAATCTCTTACGCCTAAAGTGTATGCAAAAGAAATCAAATGAAATGAAAATGAGTGTAAAATTATTATTAATAATAATGAAAATAAAGTCAGTGCTTTATTTAGGAAATACATACACCCTTGTGCAAATCAATTGAAACAAAACGAATAATTCCGTTATTATTTACATTTTTGTGAGGAAAAAAGAAATCGATTACACCCTGTCACTCTAGTGGATCTCAAACTGATCGTATAATGAAAGAAAGGAAACTAAAGCGGTTGTTTCAATTAATCTGCACCAGGGTGTAGATTAATTAATCTGCACCAGGGTGTAGATTAATTAATCTGCACAAGGGTGTAGATTATTATAGTTGGGTGAGTTTCATTTTTTCTGGGTCTTCAGGAATGCCAGATCTGTTTTTGGAATATGGGGTTTTTCGTAAACACATTTCGAAAAGCCCTCAATATAAACAAGCAATGCAAAAAGTGTCAGTTGCCTTTATGACTAAATAGTCCAACCTTCCTGGCCATGGAGGCAACGTATGTTTTTAAGTTGGGGGAGATGAACAGAGGCAAATACTGACATCCAGAAAGAAAAAAAGAAAGATGACTAGATTTATGGTTGAATTAAATAACCTCATCTCCCTCTCTCCTCCCCCCCATTCTCCCTCTCTCTCGTACCTCTGTATTATAGGGTTGTCTTATTATAGGCTTATCTTATTATAAGCTTATCTTATTATAGGCTTATCTTATAGGATAGTATATACGTGTGTATCGTCTTTATGCACGTTACTCATTTAATATAAATAGATTGTCGGTTAGGATGTTTCGATTTTACGAGCAAATATTATTTTCAATAAAATTGCAATTTGTTTCAGTAACCAATCAATAATGGAAGGTTAATTTTCTTATCGGAATTTTAGCGGAAGTTTAAAATGCGAGTGTTTTGACAATGATTTTTTTTTTTTTTACATAGAAATGAAAACTTTAGCAACAAAAACTGTATCCGTTTCTGTATAAAAGAAAAATAATTTTATAGTAGATTTTTTTCTTCACTTCTTGTTAATAAAATTAATTTGTGAAAACTGATTAAACCGTTGTATGTGATCGAATAATTTCTTTTGTCACCGGGTCACAAATTGTGTTTGCCATTTCCGTGATAAAAGTAGACGTTGATGATTCTCTCTTGAAAAGCGTGTTTCATTTGACAGCGATTAGTGATTGGTTTATGTCATATAGAGGAACGATAATTGGCTAATTTAATTTCATTACTATATAAACGATGTTTTTCTTTGATTGAATAGAATATTTCTAATATTTTTGTTTGCTTTGACCTCATTTTAAGAAAATATTAAAGAATTGAAACTCAGTTGTTACCGCTATACAATAAAGGCTCATTCGTTATTGGATTTTCTCTTTTTATAGGGTGGGGCAGGGGTCCGGATCCCTTACACAGAATGTATTTAGAATATTTTAGAATGTTCTCTAATTCGAAAACTTAACGCTATTTTTCTACGCCACTTCATTTACTTGTATAAAGTCTTACAAATTAACCCATAGCTGGGAGGAGAAGAGGTGGATTCGTACCTTTCCCAAGGGTTCGTAAGTGAATATAACGAACCCAACTGGTATTGGAACTCGATTTTCGATTAACAATTCCAAGCCATTATCCATTATACCACCCATATATCCAAGCTTACAGCAGTTGGTATTTCCAAGCGGTCACCCATCTCGATACTGACTAGGCTCGATGTTGCTTAACTTGGCTGATTGTACGGGAACCACTGTTTCAACGTGATGTGGCCGTAAGCCAAAAATAAATAAATAAAATAGCAAGAGAGAAAGATGCAATAAGTTTGACGATATTTATAACCTGAAATTTCCGATGCGTCTGAACCGATATCTCCGTGGACGGAAATAGCTCTCTAGAGGAATATAGACAGACTAGCTGGGATAGATAGATATATAGATAGATAGATAGATAGATAGATAGAGAGAGAGAGAGAGAGAGAGAGAGAGAGAGAGAGAGAGGAACAGGCTGAGATAGATAGATAGATAGATAAACAGACAGAATCACGTATATACACATAGCTATATCAAAAGTTACATATATTCATATAAAAAACGGTATGATGATAACAGAGGTAGATAATTATAAGCTTTGGGTTATAGCAGATTTTACAAGTATGCAATTTTACTGATAACGAAGAGTTTTTCTACACTCTATCCAATACTGCTTTAGAAATTAGTAAAGATAGAAACGAAACTAAACGACAGAATGATTTTTAATATAAAATTATTTATCTTAAATTTGCTTTTATAGTGAATTAACTAAATCTATATCGACACTCGTAGTCGATGTACAGTCAAGATTCCAAATGCTGATTTTCAAGGTAGGAATGACTTTTTCACTTGAAATAATTGGTGCAACATAATCTTCCTATTTCAGTTTCCATTCTATTTGGCCATGAACCATGCTAAGCAAAGAATTATATTAATATTATCTTTAATTTTAAATCAAGAATCGGATATCGTAGAAGTTGTGATAACCTTTCTAATTAATTAAGCAGGGAACTCATATATTAGGTGCGCAACTTTTTGCGTGCCATTTGTTGTTTACGGGTGCAGCTGTGTTTAGCTGAGTACATTCGCCAGTTTTACGCACACGTTTTATGTGCCAGTGCATGTTTTGGACAAAACCCTCGACACACCATTCATTTCCAACATTTTGTTCCTTGATTTTCCCCTCTTTTCTCACTTTCCCTTAACCCTAAAGTTTGGCTGCTTTTTGTGCGATCCAGATTTGTCAGTGGGGGTGAGAAAGGGGTGGGGGTTAGGGACTGGCTAGTGTGAAGATGAAAAAGGCATGGTTTCTCTCTCACTGTTTTTTCTCACCTCCGAGTTTAGAAATACTTGTCGGTATGGATTGTTTATTTTGGCTTGGTATAGGGGAGAGGGTGTTATCCACATTTTTCTTTCCTTCAGAAACTATTTAGCTCTTTTGATATAGATAGATAGATAGATAGAGAGAGAGAGAGAGAGAGGGGGGAGAGGAGGAGAATCTGGTGAAGGGGAGAGAAAGTGTGGGTGAAATAAGTAGGTGTAGACAGAAACGAAGACAAAATATGACGCCAATAGTGATGAAAACGAGATTGTGAGATAGATAGATAGAGAGAGAGAGAGAGAGAGGATAGATGAATAAGGGAAACAACAGAAGGAGGGTAAAGGAAGAGACAGAACAGAGATAAAGGTTGGGAGGAAAAAGGAGGGAAAGAGGACAAAAATGTAAAAGCAAGAAACAGGAAGAAGCAATGTCATTAGAATGAGAGAGAAAGAGAAAGAAATTGTGATGGAGTAGCAGGGGATGAGAGAGAGGGAGAGAGAGAGAGAGGGAGAAAGAGAGAGAGAGAGGGACAAATGGGAAAAAGAAGAAGCAGGGGAGGGATCAAAAGAAGGTTACAAAAAGAAAGAGGGAAGAGGAGAACTAAAAGGGATATATAGAAAGTTAGAGAATGAGAATGAGAAGGAAGTAAAAGAAAAGTAGGCAAAGAGATTAGGAAAGTATAGAGAAAAAGAAAGAAAGAGATAGAGAAAGAGAGATATAAAAAGAAAGAGGGTTCAAACTCCAACTATTCCAGGTGTTTTCAGCCTGGACATTTTGGATTAGACTCTGAAAAATCTTCAACACAAACTTTCATCTTTCACCTTCGCCACCAGTTCGTATTTTTAAATTGCCATTTGCAAAACAATATCACTACCACCGCCGTCACAATTATCACATCATTATATCAGCTAAAAATCTTTAGCTAAATATTATTACAGCTTTTCTGATGAGTACGATTCGTTTTAGATTCCCTAGATCTTCGTACCACTTACACAAGGACTGTCAGGAGCATATCGAGAAGTTCGGGCAAAACATCACATAAACCCCCAACCCCCACCCCAGAGTATATCAAGGTTTAGTATCTTGTGACTCCTGGTTTCTCTCAGATCGCTCTTGAAATGCTTTGGACGAAATGAAAGAGAATGAGACGAAGCAGCTGATGGCGATCCCGAATGAGAACTTTGCAGACATGTAAAAAGTCGATGAAGCGTTAGGGTAAGTGTGTGAGACGCTAACAAGAACACATTGAAAGAACTAAGGCGACATTACTTTCTGTCAGCGATTTTTTTGTTGCTAATATCATATGATTGCTTCTATTCTGTATATTTGTTGGCTTTCACTAGAGATGAAAGGACATATTCGCTCAGTTCTCCACGACAGTCCATAGTATTATCGCTGATTTTAGCAATTCTGTTGTCTGAATGATTTCTATTTATATTCAGATTTCAAATACTTTCATTCTCTTTGCAAGACTCTTCGAAACTATTCAAAGTGCACCAGCAATGATGGGTACAGTTGTTATCTTCGTGCACCATTATTTGTTCCGTTCTCTCGCTATGTTTAAAAACATTTTAATTTTCCTCTTTCTGTCGGACCAGCGATATTCACTGACAATTTTTCTTTTTTCCTTTTCACGGTGATTGCATCTGGTTTTCTCTTTTTTAAAAGTCTTTATGACAGATTCTGAGGCTTGCGTATATGGCATTGATTTGTGAGATTGATTGGTTGCATAGTTCCTAGTGAATTTACCTTCACACCCACTCAAGTGTAATCTGTCGAATCAAACTGTTACATTCGCTTATTATTGTCTTCCATCATATTTAATATAAAATGTTTCAGTATTTTTTAGAGAAAAATTATTTACTAATAGAATTTCATATCATCAGTATTCAATCATCAAATTATTTCCACTGTTTTCTATAACTTTACACCACCTCCCAGATAAATTGTATCTTTTATCATATCAGGGTTAATGTAAAAGGTTTCAGTATCTTTTTAGAAAAAACTCTTATTCATATAAATTCACAGTAAGGGTAACAGTAATATCAATTGTTTCCTTATAAGGAAACATTCGGCATTCATTGACTGAGTAGCCAGTGCCACTTTCGGTTGAGATTTATAAAATATTTCTATTAAAACAATTTTTCAAGCAAATAGGTTTCTCAACTCTATTAACTGTTATTATTCTTGCCATTATCGACAGGGGGGGCATTCTTCCTAACCTTGTGTTTGAAGTAGAGTTGGTACAGTTCTTTATGATTCTGTAGCGCCAGTCCACGAGATTCGAAGAAGGATGGTTCTCACTAAGACTCACATGCTTCATTTGGTCGAAACGATTTTGAACCATTCATCTGAAAAAACGATTGTATATACAACTGATAGTTTAGATATGTCTGAACGAGTTTGGCGCCATTCATGATACCCATGTGAAAATCTCGACCCAAAGAAAGATATTTTTGAATATGACTTGAGTTTATTGGTTAATATTTTAGTTCTGTAGCAACTGACGGTGTTGGGCGAAACTACTCCTAACGCAGACTATTCTATATTCAATTTCTTTTTCTATTATACTAAGTCTGATCCGTACACCGAAGTGTTTGAAGTGTTTAGTATTTACTAATTTCAGAAAATGATGACAGAAACATTGTGAGAGCTGTGAAGAAAAACCGCAAAACAACATTCAGTGACATCACCAAAAACCTCCAGAGTGCAGGGGTAAATGTTTTACAATCAACCGTTCAAAGAAGACTTCAAGAGTAGAAATATCGAGGCCATACCACAAGATGCAAACCAAACATCAGCAGCAAGGATCGGAAGGCCATATTGGAATTTGCAAGGAAGTACAGAAATGAGCGACAAAAGTTCTGGAAGAAAGATTTATGGACTGATGTGATTAATCTTTACCAAAGTGATGGAAAGGTCAAAGTGTGGAGAAAGAAAAGATCTGCTTATGATCCAAAGCATACAATTTCATGTGTGAAGCATAATGGTAGCAATGTCTTGGCTTGTGGTTGTATGGCTTCTTCCGGAACTGGCTCATTCATATTTATTGATGATGTAACACATGATGCTAGCAGCAAAATGAATTCAGAAGTTTACAGAAATATTTTCATCCAAACTAATCGGGAGGAAGTCTATCATGCAGCAGGACAATGCCAACACAAGAAAGGACTTCATCAGGTGAAAAATGTTGACAGTTTTAGACTGGCCAAGTCAGTCACCGGACCTTCACTCAATAGGGCATGCATTTCATCTTCCGAAGAGGAGACTGAAGAAAGAAGCCGCTTCTCACCCCGGAAACAAACACGAATTGAAAGAGGCTGCGTTAAAAGTCTGGAAAACTTCTTGGTGTAGTTATTGTAAGCAAGGGTTATGCAACCAAATATTAAATATTATTTACTTTTAAGACTATCTTTTCCATTACTTTTGCTCACATAAAAATGGGATTATCTGATGCAAAAGGTAGTGTATCCTAACTTGTTTAATATATCTAAATGTAAATACCTTGAAATAAAGCTGAAATTCTTAACTCTTCTCATATCAACTCATCTTTTGATTTTAAACCCAAATGTCTTCAATGAACAACAAAAATGAAGGTATTAGCCTTGCCGTTCCAATACTTTTGGAGGGGATATATATCTATATATATGTAAAAAGTCCGATATAAATAAAAATATATCTGCCAAAAACAAACTGAATAAATACAAAGGGAAAACTTTCATTTACCGACGTGTTTCCTCCTCTGATGAACATTATCAAGGATTTTATTTTGCATCAAGTATTTATAAACAGAAGTAAAAACATCGTTAAGTTTTCAAAATTTTAAATCGCTCATAAATATTCTTCAAGCTAACAGTGAAAGTGAAGTGAACTATGGTGGATGCTAACTAATGTAATTAGTACCTAATAAACGAAAGTGAGTAAA